CTCGTGGCCAGCGCACTCTTAAGCAGTTATGAGCAGCAGGCAGTGCAATATGTGTGAAATCTTTTATTTTTGTTATCACTATGGCCATTTGACTTATAGCAGTGTCCAGTGTTTCCTATACATTGAGTTATTACCTCGTTGAATAAACTGAGCACTGCACGTTTCAAAATTAAAATGCAGCGCGGGTGTTTTTATATGAATGTGTCTGTGAAAAGCACCGACTGTTTTCAGAAAAGCTTCGATGACATTTTAATTGTGTCTTTCCTGTAATGCCTGATAAAGTAGCGTTTGTGAGTGCAGTGCTTATTAGATTACAGCCGTTACCGGGGAAACCGCTATATCTCCCGCTCAAACAGCGCCTCCTGCTGGCAGAGAATTAATTTGCATTCTGTGGGAAACACTGGTGTCTGTCAGCAAACATAAACAAAAAGCATCCTTCAGAACTGTTTTGAGAAGGTGCTTAAGTTTTGAGCCATGCATTATTACTCTGAATTGGGCACTACTACTACTGCCATCTTGTACCCTGCAATAATCATTTGCTCAAACTCACTTTTATGATCCATTTTTCAGATGAATTGGCATTTGCATTGATTGGTCACTCTTCATAGACAAAACACTTATGGCAGATGAGTCTGATCTCTCCTGCTGAAAACTGACAGCGATTTGACAGATTTTAATAAAAAAAGGAGTCTGGAATTTTAGTACAGATTGGCAACAAACCATTGGTGAGGTTGAGAAAATAATTTCAATCTTAATCCTTGTTAGTAGTGTTACTGCCCTGATGACCCACTGTTCTGTCTACCTTTATCTTAAACGAGCAATCTTCATTACCTTTTTTCCATTGATCCATTTTTCAAATAAGTTTGGCCAAACATATCGGCCAAAAAAATAATAAAAATCGGCATCATATATCGGCCGCCCTGATTTCTAAATATCGGCATCGGCCAGTGAAAAACCGGTCGACCTCTAATGTTGGTTAATGTTTGTGGTGTCTGTAAAACGTGAAAGATGTGAGAACTCATAACACTGCAAACCTAGTCTACCTATGGGTACAAATAAAGTTCATTGGTACTGCTTGGAAAAGCAGTGATATGACAACAGAGAAGCACTGTTCTCTGACCTTGAGTCCGAAGGTGAAGATGGTCATGATGATTTTGAAGACGAGCGCCAGGCTGAGCTGCCACATGGCCGAGTAGACGCCGGGGGCGGCGGCGGCGTCCGATCCCGCGGGATACGCCTGACTGCCGTTCATCTGGCTGCGGTACTGGCAGAGCTGAGACGACTCCAGCGGCCCGCAGTCCGTGAACAGCTCTTTGATCAGCTCGCTGGTGTTCTGCCGCGTGTACGGGTTCGGGAACGCCACGATGGCCGTGATGGCAGCGACCGTGATCACCTCCAACACCGGGTACTTACCTAAAAACACGCGTCCCGCTCAGATCAGTTCAAAACATGAAGGAACACTAATCAGGGTAAAACCTTGAAGAAACTGTATTATTCTGAATAAACATCATCTGAAATAAAATAAATGAAATAGTTTAAAATAATAAAATTTAGACTAAAATTAAATAAACTAAAACTTAATAAAAACTATAGATTTTTAAATAAACGAATGAAAACGCCATAAAAATACCTCAAAATTACTTAAACTTTAAAACAATATTAAAAAAAAAACAAAGATACCACAAAATTAATAAAACTAACTAAAATTATACAAAACCTAATAATTACAAAAACAAAACAGAACTATTAAAACTTTGCACACAGTATATAAAAAATAAAATAAATAAATGGCCAAAAAACCCAACAGAACTACTAAAACTTACACGAATAAACATAACAATATTTAAAAAACAAAAATAATAACAAAACAACAAAATTACTAAAACTAATAAATTATACTACAAACAAAAACTATTAAAATTAAAACAAAAACACAACAGAACTAATAAAACTTACAACAGAAAATAATAAAACTCAAAGTATATTAAAAAAAATTAGCTCATAAAATTTTTTTAAAAGGTCTAAAACTTTAAATTTATATTTAAAAAAAAAAACTAATAAAAATGACAAAAAAAAACAAGACACAACAAAATGTCTAAAACAATAAAAAAACATCTAAATTACAAACTTCAATTCAAAGTATATTTCAAAAATAAATAAAACAACATGTCTAAAATTTTAACTAAAGATACAATAAAAACTAAAACGACAAAAACACAGCAAAATTACTAAAAAGTTTAACTAAAATTAAAATGCAATTCAATATATTAACAAAAACGGTAACACTTTACAATAAGGTTCCATTAGTTAATGTTACTTCATGTATGAACAAACAATGAACAGCACATTTATTACAGTATTTATTAATCTTACTAATACAGTCGTTCATTGTTAGTTCATGTTAATTCACAGTGCAGTAACTAATGTTAACAAGCACAGCTTTTGATTTTAATAATGCATTAATAAATGTTGAAATTAACATTAAGATTAATAAATGCTGTAGAATTATTGTTCATGCTTAGTTGATGTTAACTAAAGTAGTTAAATAGTGAACCTTATTGTAAAGTGTTGCCACAAAAGCTCTCACAGTAAATGAATGAAAGTGAAGCGCTGGCACTAATGCGTACCGAAGCGCGTGGACTTGCGGCGGCGGCACCAGGCGATGTTGGCCCGGATGAAGAAGGCTCCCCACAGGCCTCCGAACACCCCCAGCAGGATGAAGGGGAAGAGCTCGAACAGGTACCAGGGCGTGTGGTACTCCACGTAAAACAGCACCAGACGACTGTTTCCGAACGGGTTGATGGAGCGCAGCACGAACGCCGCCACCAGAGCCGCGAAGAACGAGCGCCACAGAGTCTTCAGAGGGAAGTAATAACTCACCTGAGAGAGAAACAGTGTTCATTACAGCATTAAACACACGCGAGACCAATCTCTGGAACCAGTCGAAGAAACACTGCTGAAAAGATGCAGATGAGAGTGTTTTCATATTTAATTATTTATGGAGCTTTCATTGCAACGTTCAGGACTGTTTAAATAAAAACACACAGGTGATGGTCCAGTACTACTTAGAAAAATGCCACCAGGACTGTTGCTTTTTAAACCACATTTCCATAAAAACTGAGACGTATATCATTCTATAAATATTTGGTTATATCGCCCACCACTCCTGTTCTTTAGCAGCGGTATTGATAGTAGACCAATATTGAGAGTCTATTATGGCTGATACGGTGAACTATATCACACACTATCAACCCAGTTTGGGTTCAGTACCATTTTATACAGGCATACAATTAAAAAAAGTGTAAAAAGTTAAAGACAATAATTAAATAAAGTTAATAATTAATTAAATAAAGACTACAATCAAAGACATTTTAATGGCTATAGAATTTAAATAAAAATAAATAAATCTGTGATCTGATAAAAACACATTTTAAAATAAATTTTACAGCCACTAAATTATTTTATTTATTTTAATTGGAATTAAAGACATTTTAATGGCTATAAAATTTATTTAAATAAAAAAATAAATAAATCTGTAATCTGATAAAAAAAAAAAACATTTTAAAATAAATTTTACAGCCACTAAATTATTTTATTTATTTATTTTAATTTGAATTAAACACATTTTAATGGCTATAAAATTTATTTAAATAAAAAATAAATAAATCTGTAATCTGATAAAAAAAAAAACATTTTAAAATAAATTTTACAGCCACTAAATTATTTTATTTATTTATTTTAATTTGAATTAAAAAGACATTTTAATGGCTATACAATTTAAATAAAAAATAAATAAATCTGTAATCTGATAAAAACATAATAAATTTTACAGCCACTAAACTATTTCATTTATTTATTTAAATTTTATGGTATTGATAGTCTATTATGGCTGATATGGCAGACGATATCATACACTTCCATTCCAGTTTGGGTTCAGTGTGATTTTTTAAATTAATTTAGAAAGAAAACCGGTACTTTTCTTCAGCAAGGATGCATTAAGTTGATCAAAAGTGACAGTAAGGATGTTTATAATGTTACAAAAGATTTCTATTTCAAATAAATGCTGTTCTTTTGAACTTTCTATTAATCAAATCCTGGGGGGGAAAAAATGTATCATGGTTTCCACAAAAATATTGGGCAGCACAACTGTTTTCAACATTGATAATAATCAGAAATGTTTCTTGAGCAGCAAATCAGCATATTATTATGATTTCTGAAGGATCATGTGACACTGAAGACTGGAGTAATGATGCTGAAAATACAGCTTTGCATCTCAGGAATAAATTACATCTTAAAATATATTCACATAGAAAACAGTTTTTCAAAATTGCAATATTATTTCACTATTTTACTGTATTTTTTAACACATGACTGCAGACTGACCTCCTCCAGACTGAACAGAACTCCTCCGATAGGAGCCCCAAACGCCACAGACACACCAGCAGCCGACGCCGCCGACAAAACCTGCCCGCAGAGAGACAAACAGAGAAACACTCATCCTTACATACCTACATCTCGTAGGCAACATCCAAATTTCTATGTAAGAGAACGAAGCTACGTTCTAACCTCTCGTTTCTTGGCCTCGTTTTTGCTGTATTTGGGGAAGAGGTAGGAAAAGATGTTTCCGCAGCAACAGGCCACGTGGACCAGCGGACCTTCCTTCCCGAGACTGATATATATTTGTTTTATAAATATAATTATAAATTATAAATATAATTATTTTATATGGTTCGAAATCATTGAATAAATATAAATGCTTTGTTGTTTAACCTCCTGAAGTTGACAAGTAATATTTTCTGAAGGTTACACACCTGCTTTCATGACAGTTGTCCCCTATTCATTGAAAGTGGCTTCTCTTTGTCTGACAGAACCAAACCTCTCTGGACTAAACCGAGCTTTTGTGAAACTTACATAACACTTTTGGTAACCATAGAAACAGAGTTAAAATCAGAGATAGTGCTCTAATAAGCAAATAAAGGATGATCGTGTGACATTTTTATTTGTCCAGTTCAAGTAAAGACCTTCTACTGAAAACTCAAGACATTTTAAACATAGCTATTCATTTAATTTAGTATTTGTTTTTTAACAAAAAGAAAAAAAACGATCAATGCGTCAATAACGACCGACTAGCAAAACTGGTTGCCCAAAAATCACGTTCATTGTAAAATATGAGGTAAAACCTGTTTGAGACAATGTCTTTTCAGTATAAGTGATGTTGAGGATTACCTCAGGTATTCCAGAGCCGCAGGCGTACGGCGCAAACACCTTCACCAGAGACACGGCCAGGAAGGCGAAGGACAGCGCCCAAAACGTGAACATGAAGTAGTTCATTATATATGAGCCTGGACCCTAGACCACAAAACACCACAGCCATTAATAAAACCAGACCATCTGTGTAAACCACACTGCGCTAAAGTCTGGGATCAGTACGGTTTATTTAAATGTTTTTGAGAGAAGTCTCTTCTGCTCAGCAAGGCTGCATTTATTTGATCAAAATCACAGTAAAAATAGAAAAATTGTGAAATATTATTAGAAATTCAAGTAACTGTTTTCTATGTGAATATCTGTTCAAATGTAATTTATTCCTGTGATGCAAAGCTGAATTTTCAGCATCATTACTCTACTCTTCAGTGTCACATGATCTTCAGAAATCATTCTAATATGCTGATTTGCTGCTCGAGAAACATGTCTGATGTCGAAAACATCATTTATTTGAAATAGAAATCTTGATTGTCACTTTTGATCAATTTAACGTGGCCTGGCTGTAAAAAAGCAAGAGTTCTTGATGAGAAAACTCGTACAGACCCCGATGGTTTGAACAGCAGTGTATCACTGGAGTGAGTCACTGACCTCGGCCTGACCCAGAATGAGTTCGGCCCACGTCTTCCACTGAGGACACTTGTCTCTCTCGGCGAAGGTGGTTTCGTTGGAGTCCCAGCAGCACTGCTCGTGATTAAACCACATGGCACTGAGACACACGCCCTCCTTCAGATCGTTCAACCAGTCGGCCGCGATGTCGATCACTCCGGCTAACGCTCCTGAGGGAACCAGGAAGGAGATCGGTGTTTATGCAGTTCATGACGTACTGAAGTAGAAGCCAACACTGTGGCTTTGAGGAACACTGCAAAAATAGCCTATTCAATTTAACGTATTGTTTATTTCATCATTTCATTCAATATAATGGTAATCTATCAGTATACTGCTTCAAAACGGGGCTTCTGCAGGTTTAATGAAGGTAAATTTAAGACTTTTTAAAACTTTTTTGAGACCAAGAAAATTAAGGAACACAATGTGTTGTATTAGCATCACTTCAAAGTTTGAAAATCAATACTTTTACAAAAAAATAGATAAAATAAAAACTAAATGAAATAAAACAAAATAAACTAAATTAAACTAATAAAACTAAACATAAATTAAACTGATAAAATAAAATAAAATAAAATAGCTTAAGGTTTGAATACTTCCCAACTAGGGCTGACAAAAAAAAATTCGAATTTCGAATGTTCGTCGAATTTAAAATAAAAATCCACATTCTAATTTTAGGTGTGCGTTAAGGAGGCAGCCTTATCAACGGCGCACGAGATGCGATGACGATGTAAGTGTCGCTGCATTATGTTTTTGTTAGCCTATCCAGTTGAAGCCACTAGATGCGGAGAGAAGCCAATCGCTTTTCTTCACCCTAACTGAAATTATGCATTTTAAATTCGAATATAATTCGAATTTTGATAATATTTAAGTAAAAAATTCGAATTTAGTTTTTCAGCCATTTTGACAGCCCTACTCCCAACCATTTGGAAATAACTCAAAACACAGAGGAAGATATTCACTTTTTGGCAGTGCATGCAGCTTTTAATGCCATGACTTTATGAATTTAATACTTTCTGCGCTGACTGAAGACATTTCTAAGCCTTAATTTGTGGAAGGGCAAACTGAGATTTTTAAAGACCTGCAGGAACCCTGTATAAATGATCAAAATCTGCTTTTTACCTTAAAATGCACTGATGAGGAGGTATGATAGAAAGACAAATGATAAAACATGGCCTAAACTCGTCTATAGTGCACAGAGTCAAACACCCGAAGACAAACACCATCAGGTTAACACATGACATTAAAATAAAGTTAAATAACAGAAAACATCACACAAACCCCTCTAATGCACTGATAACAAAAATGAGAAGAAACAAACTATATTCATGTGTGATGCATTATGCAGGGACTTCTGTTTATCACTGCAAAAAAACATAATTTTACAGTATTTTATAGTAAAATTGATTATAACGTGACGTAAGCCATTTACAGTTTTTCACCGTCCATGTTTGGGAAACTCACAGTTAATCAAGTAAGATTTTACTGCAGCATTTTTTACTTTTTTTCAGTAAAAGTGGAACATTTCTTTCTAGCGATTGTTCCTGTAGTAGGTTTTACTGCATGCAGCTTTGAATAAATGTCTGACAAATAAACAAAAGCGCAAATGCTGAAGCTCAGGGTGAATTAAGAAATAAGCTGAGTTCAGCATAACGTGTTCAGAAGATTAAACCGTGACTTACAGCTCAAAGGTGTGTGTGTGTGTGTAAGTGTGTGTGTGTGTGTGTGTGTGTGTGTGTGTGTGTGTGTGTGTGTGTGTGTGAGAGTGTGTGTGTGTAAGTGTGTATTTGGTTATTAAGTGACCACGATATTGAGGTTTGTGGAGGAACATTTTATTTCCTGTGTGCAGGTGCATTTCATAAGCTAATGTTTGCTAAAATACAGTTTACAGAAGGAATTGCATTTAATTCAGCATTTGCAAACCTTTTATAATAAAACCTTTGTATAGCAATATAAAAATTCCCTGTGTTTTTAGTAATACCGTATGCTCGATTCAGTAATGAAATATAAATAAATATAAAACATATATAATCTACCATTCAAAGGTTCAGGGTCAGTAAGACTTTTTGGCCACAGTTTATTTTAATGTCCAATTTTCGCTATTAACAAACCATTAACTATGACTTTTGCCTCAAACTCCTGATTTGCTGCTTATTAATAGTTAATAAGGTAGTTGTTAAGTTTAGGTATTGGGTAGGATTAGGGATGTAGAATATGGTCATGCAGAATAGATGCTTTTTAAGTACTAATAAACAGCCAATGTGTTAATAATAGGGATGGTAATAAGCAACTAGTTAATAGTGAGAATTGGTCCCTAAACTAAAGTGTTACCGACTTTTTATATAAATATAATTAAAACTGTTATTCAGCAAGGAAACATTAAACTGATCGGCACACTTATAACTTCCCCGAACCCGCGGGTATAAAAATAGGACTGAATCAATGTTAAGCTCAATGGCAAAAATAGTTTCCATCAACTAGAACTAGTTTTACAGCTGCAGTCGGTTAACAGAGCGGTTTCTGGTTATGAGTCATTTGAAAGATCATCTGCGGACTGAATTTAGAGATTAATATTTAAACCAAATCAACCTACAGTGGTGTGAAAAAGTGTTGGCCCCCTTCCTGATTTCTTATTTTTTTGCATGTTTGCTTCTGGACTCTCTACTGCAGATTAGCTTTACTCAATTTGTCTTATTTATTAAAATGAGTATTTGTCGTTGTTTATGATATGCGTTAACTGTGTTGCTTGCATTTCCATTCGTGCAGAGTGTGTGTGTGTGTGAAACTATAGTGAGCGGATCTGTTTGTGAAAGTGAGTTTGAAAGAACAGCAGCTAGAGAGAAACAGTGTGTGTGCGCGCGCGTGTGTGTGAGAGTGAGTGTGTGTGTGTGTGAGTGTGTGTGTGTGTGTGTGTGTGTTTACCTGACGCTAGTCCTGTTAGCGTGACCACCAGCCACCCGGACCAGGCGTCGTACAGACTCTTGGTGAACTCCCATGCTGATTCCTTCTTTTTACTGTTTATCTACACAGACGGAGAGAGCATGAGTAAACAGAGAAGCACAAACCTCCTGATTCAGGATCTGCAGTTTCTATCTGACATGATCCCGCAGCCGATCAGTTTGAAAACCACAGTATCACTACCAGTCAAGCAGGAAGTTCATTTGCCTAAAAAACATCCATTCAAATGATTTTATGTGCTCTAGAAATAAAGCCTAATGCGGCACCAGCACACGTAACACAATAAATCAAATAAATCATGGCCAAAGTTTGATGAATAAGGAGAAAACTACAGTTTACAGCTATAGTACTGACTGTATTTGCTATATTACTGATTCTCAAATATGTGACCCTGGACCACAAAACCAGTCTCATAAGGGTCAATTGAGATTTATACATCAACTGAAAGCTGAATAAATAAGCTTTCCATTGATGTATGGTTTGTTAGGATTGGAAAAATATGCTCCAGGGTCACATATTATATAATGTGCACTTCTTTTATTGTTCATTTGTTATGTTTAATCCTATCTTTTGCATCCATTAAGTTTCCGCTAATAAATAAATGCATAATGAAATAATAAAATTAAAATACATAAAATATAGACCGAGTTAAAGTTTCCAAAAATAAACAACAAAAAACTTAAATAAATGCATGCAAAAGATGGAGTTAAAGTTTCCAAAAATAAATAAGTTAAACAGAGATGGATTTAAATTGGACAAAGCAAATATAATTGAGGAAATAAACAAAAACGGAGTTAAAAAAAATAAACAAATTCATTGTTTAATTTAATAAATGATGAAAAAGAAATAACAACAATAACAACAATAATAATAATGAATAAATACAAAACAGCTAAAGTTCAAGAAAAAATTATAAGATTGAGTTCAAGGTTCCATAAATGAATAAATGCATGCATGAATGAATTAATAAACAAACAGAGAGAGAGATGTAGCTCAAGTTTTCAAAACAAAAAAATTATAAATAAACCAAACGAGATGGCATAAAAAAAAACAATTGCATAAAAAAAAAACAGACAAATAAATAAAATGAGATTGAGTTTCTTTCCTTTGTGAAGTATTAAATTCATTAGATTATTCAAAAAATAACTAACTATATTGTGATATTTACTGTTAGCATGACATAAAACCTACTGAATTTTTCTATCATACCCACATACACTCCGATATCAGATGGTGTGTTACCTTGCGGTGTCGCTCTCGGTCTTTGCACTTCTCTCTGACCCAGTCGATGGTGTGGAAGTCGTCGTAGGTTCCCACACCTGGAATGGGCTCCTCCAACAGGTCCAGCAGGTGGGTGGAGCTACTGGCCCCAGCTCCGCCCCCTCCATTAGACATGGCGTAGTTCGACCCTAAACACACACACACACACACACGGAGGAGTGAGGGAAAGAATCGCTTTCAGACAAGCAGTGGTAGGTGTGAATCTTTCGGTCGATTCGATTCACAGGTTTTCAATTCGATTCAGGAACGATTTTTGCGAATTCAGAATGATTCAATTCAATCTGATTCACAATGAGATTTGACGTCGATTAATGATCCGATTCTGTATTTTCAAAGGATTTTGGAAATGCTTCTCCAGATGTGTCTTTTAATGTATCATCACATCACTTGCTCACCAGTGGATGCTCTGCAGTGAATGGGTGCCGTCAGAATGAGAGTCCAAACAGCTGATAAAAACATCACAGTAATCCACAAGTACTCCACACTGCATTTTAACTTCAAACTGTTGCTAAAAAACAAATCCATTATCCATAATACTGCTTTCCCCAGTGAAAAAGTCGTCTTGTCTGAATCAGGAGAGAAATCTGCACAGAAAGGTTCTAAACAAATACACTCTTAAAAATAAAGGTGCTTCACGATGCCATAGAAGAACCTCTTTGTCTAAATGGTTCCAGGAGGATTTTGATGTGAGAGGACAACAGGGAATGAACTTTTTCACTGGAGGAAGCATGATTATGGAAGCTCAAATACTGCTTCATAACAATGATAAAAAATTTTTATAGAGTTTGATTCCTAGTTAGCTTCTTGTTGAAACTTGTTGACTTGCATTTTTGCCAGAAACAATGGTTTGAGTTTAAAGGTCCCATATTGTCAAAACTGAAATTTCCTGGCTTTTTTCACGATAACTGAGGTCTAGGGGCTATGTAGCACTCCTTAATGATAAATTTGTTTTTTACAAACATGCAGCTTTTCTCTTCACAAGACATTAACTGATGGACTGGAGTGGTGTGGATTACTTGTGGATTATTGTGATGTTTTTATCAGCTGTTTGGACTCTCATTCTCACGGCACCCATTCACTGCAGAGCATCCATTGATGAGCAAGTCATGCAATGCTACATTTCTCCACATCTGATGAAGAAACAAACTCATCTACATCTTGGACCGCCTGAGGGTGAGTACATTTTCTTGACTGAAGCAAATGATTCACGATTGAAAAATCCATGTTTTCAAGAAGTAGGATTTGTAATTGTTGCATCAAGAAAATGAGTGACTCGTTACACCCCTACTATGTAGCGTTTATTAGATGTGGTTAGTGAATTGAACAAACCTTGATTTAACACTCTATTAATGAGTCATTGAACTCTCTGAGGCACCAAAACGGCATGTTCAACAATCATTACAGCAGCGTTTTTGTTGGCCACACTTAATGAAAGCAGAGAGATGGGTCATCTGGATGCGTGTTTTGTCCTGAGAGCAGTGCAGGCATCTGGATGGCGGTAACTGCTGCGCCACAGCAGATAATCAGCAGCTAATCAGCTTTTCCTCAGATCTCGTGAGCCGAGCGACACAAGCCACTGCTAGTGCACAGCCTCACACGCTAGAGAAACACACGCTTGTACACACTTCCCTTTTCTAGAAACACATCTAGCCGTCACCTCGCTGTGAGCAACCTAACCAGGACAAACGAATGAAAAAACTAACAACGTAAAGCCAGAAACAGCACAAGAAATGCCACTCTTCTTAATATAAATACATGCGTTTGCACGGCATAATGAGGCGAGGAGAAACACAGGCCGCATTCAGCAGCCATCATCTAGACCAGCATGCGATGAAAAATGTGTGTGTGGCTACAGGTCACCAAACCAAAAGGCTCAAAACCACAAAAAAACAAAGCATGACTCATTTGTAGGGATGTAACGATTAACCACGAGCCAGTTGAAAATCTATTTAAATATGTGACGATTCAAATCGGTTGAGCAAAACAAATTTGGTTTGGGCTAAACAAATCGCGATTCAGTTAGGTGTAGGAGTTTATATGAATGCATGTCTGAGGGGAACTTACTGTCTTTCGATGGTATTTTATTTAGCAAACGCTTTTATCCAAAGCGACTAACAAATGAGAAGCAACAGAAGCAATCAAAACCAACAAAAGAGCAATCATTTACAAGTGCTATATTAGTATATTATTATAGTGTTATATTTCAATTTCACAAAGAAACAGTATTTTGTCCAAGAAATAATAAAAGGACACATTTAATTTATAATTTGTCTTAAATCTCATTTTGGTAAAAAAAAATCGTGAATCGAATCGTGAAATCAAAACCGTGAATCGAATCGTGAGTTGAGTGAATCGTTACATCCCTACTCATTTGCTTAAAAAAATAAAAAAAATAAAAAATAAAAAAACGGAATTTAAAATGGCAAGAATTTTATTTTATAAATATTACTTATTTATTAGCATTTATTATTAATAATTAAATGTAATAACAGCTAACGGCAATTCTTATTTTAATACTTTATCAATGTTAATAATATTATTTATTAACATCTTTGTTTTGTGTTAATATTAATTTATTATTTTATTGTTATTTAATTTGTTTATTAATTTTTAATTGTTTATTCTTTAATTAGAACTAATATTTTTAATAATAGCTAACAGACATTACTATTTTTAATACTTCACTAATATTAATCTTTATTTTGACATACTTATTTAATTTATTATTATATACTTTATTATTCATTACATTTTGTTTATCTAATTAGTATCAAAATAAAATGAAATAATAAATAATATTGGTAAAATTAATAAAAAGCTAATATGTATTCTTATTTTATTTAATACTTTATTAATATTCTTACTGTTTTGTGTTAATATTAGTAGCTTGCTTATTATTATTTACTTAATAAACACATTATTTTCTTTAATTAGTATTAATGTTTTTAATAATCAATAGCTATTATTTAGTACTTTAATATGAATAATATTATTAATATTTATTAATATTCTGATTGTTTTGTTTTAATATTAATAGATCGTTTTAATTATTATTAATGTATTTGTTATTAATTATTTCGTTTATTTAATTAGTATTAATGTTTTAATACTCGATAGCTAATAGCTATTATGTAATACTTTATTAATATGAATAAACAATGTTATGAGATATTTATTGCTTCGTATTAATATTAATAACTTGTTTTATTATTATTATTTTATTAATAACAACTGTTAGAACTCATAGGAAAAGGTCCCAGTGAAACATGACACTGAAGATCATAAGCTATCAAAACCACAAGAAAGCAACTCAACGGTCTTCACAGGAGCAATATTAATGCGTTCAAACAACCAGCGGAGATGGAAGCAGACTGCAGCGCACTTCATCTGAAGCACACGTCTCCCTCCGAGCGAATGACGAGGATACGGCGATTAAATCATCCCTGCTGCTGACTCACGCGCGCATAAAACCCTCCTCTGAAAGAGCAGAGACCCTCGGGCTCATTCACCACCGCAAACCAGCTTGTGCTTGTGTGAAAGAAGAGGCTGCGCAGCAAATCTCATCCTTCACAACCCAAACCAGCGCAAAACCCACATCTTTACAGCTGCTTTCCCAAAAACTGCATCTGCATTTTGACCTTGATGCTTCCTGAGCAGATCATTTGCTCAGAGAAAAAGAAGAGAAGAAGAAACAGAGGAAGGTCTTTTGTGCAGTGAACCTAAACATGATAAAATGTGTTGTTGAGCCGATATTTCTTATTGGCAGCTTAAAGCATATTCAAAGTAGTCTAAACATATGAAAACGCTGAAATCTGGCTGTTAGTGTGCATTAAGACACATGTGACGTGCTGCATGAGCTGAAAATCCAAGCGCGCTCACAGGAAACATGACGAATGCTAATAATGGGTTTCACAGACATATGAAGAACAGCACAAGACGCCTGAGAATCGTGATGCATTATTCTTCAAGTCATCCTGCATTAATGCATTACTGCACTCGCTCCTCTCCTGCTCACAAGTCTCTCCTGTTGCAACGAATATGAATTATGAACGACTTTTCAGCCAGCGTTACTGCAGCATCCCTGAGAGATGATTCTAACTCTCTCTTATTAATATGTTATTTTTTTAATATTTAATTTATATATTTAAGTTTTTTTATTTTCTATTTTTATTTTACATATTATCATCAAACAAATAACAGACATATTTCAGCCTAGATTTTACATGAAAGCAGAAAACATAATCTTTGTATAATAGACAACTTTTCACAATTTTTAGACCAATGAAAGTCAATAGCTTTTCCAGTCATTTGTGATTGCTGCTGAATAAGAATTTCTAAAATGATATTATTATTATTATTAATCAATTAGTACTTACATAATATTTATTATAATAAAAATATTTATATGTACTTAAGAAATTATATCAAAAAATATAATTAAATATGTATTATACAATTACTTTATTTAACACTTATATACACATTTACTGTTGTTATTATTATTATTACTATTACTTTTTTAGATTTAAATTATATTTATATATTTAAGTTTTTTATATTTCTATTTTTATTTTACATAAAGTTTTAGTAGTTTTATTTGTTATTTTAGTTATTTTTATCAGTTTTATAAATAATTTAATGTTGTTGTTTTTTTCAGTTTTAGATTAGTGCTTTTTTAATATATTTTTTTATTTCATTTCAGTCAATGTTTATTTCGTTTCAAGAAAGAAAAACGTTTCCAGAACGCAACATTAATCCCGACAACAAAAATACACGACACACAGTGTTCATACTGAGTTTATCAAACCCGAAGACATCAGCTGATTAAAAGCAGATCATGATTTGGCTGATTTCTGGCCGACAGTAGAGCTAAGCAAAAGCAAGAGCATGAGCAAGAGCAAGCGCAAGCCACACATATGCATGCATGCACACAACACATGCCATACGGCATCAAGAAAACACTTCTGACAACACGCACGCAGGATTGACGCACTGCATGCATGCCAATGGATGTGTGTTGTCTCACTGTCTGTGTCTGTCTGTCTCTGTCTGTGTGTGTGTTGCGATTGCATCACGTTTGTGATGAGCGCAACGCAACACACACCGATCAGTGTGTGATACCTGCCAC